CAAACAACTGCTTAAGGCTCCCATTTTTGAACTGCAGGGCCAAGGAGGGTAGGGCCTATGAGCTCCATCATCCTCATTTCTGAGCAGGCTCCTCAGAAAAAGCATTATCCTCCCTGCAGAATTGCCTTGGCAGCTGGTACGAGTGCAGGGCCCGCAGAGGGAAGTACTGCAGGTATACAAGGAGTATATGCTGCGTTCCTTAATCAGTGTTATTAACCAGAGCTTTTCTTTTCAATTTGCACTACTGAGAACATCTTACCTTTCTTCTGTATGCCTTCTTGTCCTGTAGGAAAGTACTTCCTCTTCTCTTGTTCCCCCCCAAGCCCCAAACACTAAATCTATTTAAGGTGGAACAAAACGGGGGGGTGGGGGGTGGGGAGGGGAGGAACAGAAAGAAACAAGAGTATGGCCAACTTTTTTAATTAGAGTATATTGTACTTCCAAACTGGATACACTAGAAATTTGCAATGCAACGTAAGATGCAAAGGAATATACCAGTTACTGTCAAAATGACCCTGTACAGCCTTATAATGCAAAAAGCTTTATACAAATACAAATTTGTTATTAATGTACACAAACCTTGACAGATTGATATTTGAACATAATACAACAAGTTAAAAAAAAAGACAGAAGAAAGAAAGAAAAAAGTGCTGAGAGCTTTAACTGAATTACTGAATGGAGAAACATGCTATCTTTCATTAAAGAATGCATAGTGAAAACCAGTATGAAATTTGCTTTATGGTGGGGGGAATTTATCAGAACCATTGGTCTTCAGTATGTAGGAGCATATTCGTTTCTTTAGCCTTGAACTGCAAACCAATTATTTTAATATGCATGAACTCTGATAAATACTGGGTTTTTTCTTAAAAGAAAAAAGAAACTCCTAACACACTTTTTGCCTTACAGAGAAAACTTTTAGAAGTTACCAGAAAGAATTAATTGATTCTTTCCAAAGTGCTAAACAAAGTTTCCCAGGTACATTAAACATTACTATTTCAGATACTGGTACAGTGGAACATTGTTAAACATGCGGCATTAGTATGTTGATAGCTCGTTCTTGGAAGTTCCAGCCCTATTTATATTGCAGTTTGGTTTACGTAAAGTATCCCATTACGATTCCTACTTCTTCCTTCTAGACAGCTGTACTTCACCTGTTGGTTTAAAAAACAAGCCTTTTGATTTGGAAGTGTTTGCGCTACTATGGTGGGGTCAGAGATATGCATCGAGTGTATTTTATACAACTGGTATAGTTCTTGGATGCAGATTGCATATTTCATGCTGCTGAGATACTTGATTTTTAACAGTTTTTATACTTTGAGTATTTACTAATACAGCATTTTCTATCTCGTCTGTACTCCTAGGGGGGTTACCAGGAGTTCTGATGGAGTAAAGCAGGCAAACAGGGCCCTGAGTTAGTTATGCACGTTCTTTACTAAGGTTTACACACACAATTTGGAATAGATGGCTTTTCTTGACTGCTTAGATAGACAGAACTGCCACATGCTCAATTGAACCAAAACTGTCTGCTGGAATGTAAACAAGATGGTGGAGTTCTCTGTCTTTTTAGTTACTAATTCCAAATAATAACCTGCTACTTTTTTGGATAGTTCCCCCTTGTAAATAACTTCCAGTATGTAAAGAGGAGTGCACGGATAAGGATGTCCTCCCCAAAGCTCTACAGGAAGAGTTTGGTCATGACAGCGGAGAATGGTTGGCCTTCTCAGTGCAAAACAAAGGTAGGAATCTTGCAACTAGGTTAAATGATGCAAGTTTTCAGTCAAAAAAGTATTTCTTCACAAGTTTCATTTAAGAAACAATGGAGATAGAGATTATGTTTCTAATTTTGCATAAGCTTAGAGCCCTTACGGACCAAAAATGCCTCTCTGAATTGGGACTTTGCTTTAGTGCTGTCACAGACAAGGGGCTGGCTCCAGCGGCCCCTGAAGCCTGGCACATCCCTCCTCCCACAACCTGCAGAAGAAGCTGCTTTGAGATAGCACGAGGGTGGGTGGATAACACATTAAAAGCGAGTCAGGGCTTGGCTGAGGGGGAAGGAGGAGACGCTGCAAAAAGCTAGGTCAGACAGATCTCTCATACCTCATGAAAGACAGCAACATCCAATTCCAAGATACACCATGGATAACAATAGTCCAGTCATGGATAACAATAGTCCAGTAAGAAAGCATTCCTGTAAGTCACATGATTATGCTGAAATGTTTTATATGTTATACTTCCAATTTTAATGCAGAGTTTTTTTAATCCTGATCTTTCTTCCTGGATATCAAGTTGTCTAAGAAATGCAAATCAGTTAACAGTCATTCAATTTCTCCTCTTTAAGATCATTGTTGGCATTTTGAGATTAACAAAGGTTATAAAACCCATCCACATTTGCTTCTTCCTGTAGTAAAGTGCTACATATAACATGTCATTTTAATGACCACAAAGTAAGAGCATTAAATAAGTATAAAGTAAGTTAGCTTCCTAGCGGTGTACACTCTTTATCAGCCATTAACAAAAAGGAGTAAAGTATTACTAATAGCATGGAGGGTATTGATAGGTCTGTAGAATCTGCAAGTACAATTGAAATAGTGAGGGTATAAAAGAGAACTGTAAGGTTACAACAGCATCTTTTTATACCTTTCTATTTCAGAGAAGTTACTGGTACCATTTCAAATATACAGTCTTATTACCTTCATCCCACAGAATTTTTCTTTCTTTTTTTTTTTTTTTTTGCAAGTGAGAAACAAAGTAGTGCAAGACTAAAGCACTGTGCAAAACTGCCTTTTTTTTTTAGTCTGAGTATTTATACCCAGAATTTATCCATACCCTTTTTTTTTTTTTAAATCCCCTTTGTTGGATTTTTCCACCATAAAATTCTAGTTATACAAGTTGTTCCTGCAAACTAAAAGGTAACCACTGCATTAATACAGTGTGTGTGTGTGTATATATCTATATATATGTGTGTGTGTGTGTACACACACGCACACACATATATATAAATCTTTATATGCCCTTTTAAAACAAAAGATGTATGCTATGGCCCAAACTCAGGTGTTTGTTACACCTGTGTAGCAGTTAAGAATTGGGCCTGTTCTGTGGGTGTGTTGCCTGCTCACACTGCATCTGCCTATGTATGTACTTACACACCCTTTTCATCGTCATACTCTCATGCTGCAGTGCTGAAAGCAACTTCTTCCTCATCAGTTCTACCCAAAAATCCTCAAACCTTGACAGATGAGTACAAGGCATCAAACTAAAGGAAGCTGCAAAGCAGCGCTGAAATAATACACCAATCCACACTGAACCAAGCATTACTCCCTCCGCAAATCTACAGTTCATGGGGAGACAGGAGGAAAGGGTGAAGCAAGTGTGTGAAAAGGGGGGAAAAAATTAATAATAATTAAATAAGCCAATACAAGGGATGTGCAAAAGCAATATCATGGCACGCTACAGACAGACTCTCTTTCACACACCCACCCACCCACACAGACCAAAAATAAAACGCATCAATATGTAGTCTTACAAGTGCTGATTGCCATTAAGGACACTCGTGTTCAGCTTAACAAGACAAAATCGTTTCTTAGATAAGAGTACTGGGAACATGCCTCTGAAGGTAGAAGTATGCAGTAGGTCACCTCTTGAAGATTTAATAAAGCAGCTTTCATGTCAATGCAATAAGTATACACACAGAGCCATTTTTCTAAACCTTACTAATGATATATATAGTACAAGTGTTCGTTACCTCTTCGGTCTATGTTTTGCAGCAATACATACCTGCTGGGTTTGTTGGGGTATTTTTGGTACAGAATGTAACTGCCCTCAGACAGTTTCTGCCCTTTCTATTAGTCCAAGGTAGGCAAGGAAGGAGTGTTTAGGTGAAGAGGCACCTCCTGGTGCAGTCTGAGGTCTGGGTGGATGGAATGTGAGATCATAGTGGTTTTTGGGGAAAAACATTGTTAAGGGAATAAGGTGAGCAAATTCAGAGTTCCAGTATTTATCAAAGCACAAGGAAGTGCCGTTGATGGCCAAGGCCTTCATTGCCAAGTTTGGCTCTGCCCCGCTGCTGTGTGCAGCTGACATAGCCACTGTTTGCAGAGCCTGGGAGGCTGACATAACTGAGAGGGGTGACAGGAGGTTTCTGGAGCTGTTCACTGGTAGGAGTGGACTGGCTTCCTTGGAGGTTGAATACTGGCCCTTCTTCTCCTCTTCGGAGCAGTCCCCATTCTGGTGCTTCTTCACGTGGCGGCTGAAGACAAAAGGGTGGGTAGTCTTGAACAGGCACTCGTCGCAGCTGAAAGTCTGGCGTGGAGCATGCTTCAGTTTCTTGTGCAAGTTGAGATTGTCTTTGCGTTTGCAGCTGTAGCTGCACTGGTCACAGTGAAACGGGCGCTCACCAGTGTGGACACGCACGTGCTCAATCAGCTTGTTGGCAGTCTTGGACAGGTAGCCACACTGGTCGCATTTGTAATGGTTGCCAAGGCGGTGTTCTCGGATGTGCATCTCCAGCTCCAGCTGATTTGCTTTCACTGTTTGGCAGATCCGACACTTGTACTCCATCTTATAGTGAGTCTTCAGGTGGCACTCCATCGCTGCGGGGCGGTTCGTGGAGTAGATGCAGAACGGGCACCTGGCAACACAGCAAGGGAGGGCAGGGAGAGAGAAGCAAAGAAATCAGTCAGCTTGGAGACCTGCATTCCTGGTTTAATCCTTCTCATTCAGCCCCCTTCATACCTACTAAAAAGAAAAGAAAAAAAGGCAGGTTCTCCCTTGTAGGACCTCTTAAGCATATTTAGTTCATCTTGACATATATTTCTACTTGGAATAGGATTGTCCATTTAGTGGCAGTAGGGCTCACTCAGTCCTAGAAAAACACTGATTCACTCTGAAGGAGCATCCCTCAAAGCTTTTGGCTTTCCTTAATGGGGAAGATACTGCAAAGCCTGCCAGAATGTGCAGAATGGGTGACTGAGTCACAGGTAATTTGTGTAATGGCATTTCTAGCGTTTGCACAAAGTCACTTTTGCCATTTTTGCCATTAAGAAGTGGTTTAAAGCAAGTTTTTACAGGTAACTATGAAAGCAGCTGTTTAAGTAAAAATGGAATAAACTTGTAAGGCCATATGTATAGCAAGGGCTTAGGAAATTCCTTTTATGTGACCTTGAACAATAAGCATGTTTGCTGGGTATCCTGATGGAAACAGCTGAAAGGCAGTGTGTTGGGCTGATCTGTAGGCATACCCTTTTCTGGGAGATGAGCTAGTCACGCTCAAAGAGCACATGTGTTTGGCAGTGTTGG